GTGCGACAAAGTTTAACGACAAACGAGGTTCATTATACTCGAGAAAACAAGGCCCAATGCATATACACGGTCGAAGAAAAATATAACGACATCGATCGCGCGTAACGACGTATATCTTGGTATAGCTAGACACGATGCGGCTTTGTGTACCGGCGGATGTACGGATGTGTGATTTTTAAGTATATATATATATATATATATATATACGTGCGACACACCACTATAAATATACACGTAATATGTACGATAGATCAGACTGCACGGGGAACGTTCGATATCACGAACGCTATTCTATAGCTCCCAATTTCGTCGGCGCGATAGAAACTGTAGTGTATATTCCCTAATCGCGACAGATACAAAGACGCATGTGCCGGTTAGAAGTGATTAATTAATTTAATCACGCCAAAGCGCCGCGAAACGTTGATCAAAGAGAATTATGTAAAATATAGCCAAGATAGTGTGTCACACGCGTAACCCGCTTTAGCGCTTGCGTATGCGCGTAACGCTACGTGTACATACAAGGAAATTAAATTACGCGCGTAACGTTACGTTAGATCATTTTATATGACACTTGTCGCGCCCAAAGAGACACGAATTTCGCACTACGGCACTTTACATATAATATTATCTAATTGTAAGTTCGGGAAATGCTAAAATATCATCCGTCAATGCAACCTTGTTTCACCATACAACCTTCAATCATCAGAGTCTGGAAATTAGAGTAAAGCTATTGGAGAATATCCAAAGTTATAGGTGAACGATCGGATAAGAGAGGCGATGGGAGATGTAGATGGGTATCGGATGGATCATCTTTATCTCAGCCGATTGCATTGTTAGCATGAAGCGTATTGTTTGAACGTCATATTGGCACGAGGCCTCGGGCAACCAATCAGCGTTTGCGGTAGCCGTGCCTTATCAAAGATTTCCACCTAGCCGCAGGGCTTAAATCAACCTATATATCCTCCGACGATCCTTTCTCTAGTTTACAGAACTCTGTCGCGAGGAGAGCAGCAAACTAGTACCAGCAATAAGAGATCAACCCTAATTGCCAGACTTTGGACAAGAACGCTCGCGCAAATGAGCGCGCGAGATATCGCTGTTGAAAATCTTTCAATACATCGGACAATTTCAATCGAATCACGTTTGGCGAAACTAGGAAAAATTAGGAATAGCGATTCCCGATAACACGCATAATTATTGTCGCGTTCAAAGACTGTGCGAACTCACGACAATTTATGACAATTTAATTATCCGCGCACGCGATACACGTGTGACATTAATTAATATTCATCGATAATGGAATATTAGACAACACGTCTGTCGTAATATAACCGTGTGTTGCTCATCAAGCAATAATAAGCAACGGTAATTACTCGTTAATTGGATGACACCACGTTTTAATAACCATTTTGCAATATGGAAACGCGCCGACAAGTCGATGACAGGTCGGTATGCGAAAATTCTTGGGACATTCATAAACGATTGTGCGGAAATATCATTCTGACCATTGTTAAAAAAATGAAAAGAATGAATAACTTGGGCAAGACGAAACTATGACTGTATCACTGTACTTTCACATACGTCGTCCATATCTGCATAGTCGGATTTATACGTTCACTTTACGATCTCTTTACTGTCTCTCTCGGCGATTTTAACGTAAATCTCTCGCATAAGGTCGTCTTTAATGTCATATCCAGCGGTCTCCTCGTCAACGAACGCTCGGTAAATTGATGACGTAATTACGGGTCTCTGCTTGCTCGCGAGCTTACCTGTCTTATGGAATAGCTCGTAACGGCCGATCGGAACCCATATCGTTCTACCAATGAAAATACGTAGGAACACGTACGTAACGAGTCGTGCTAGCGACGTGCTGCTACAGCTGTCGAACATCCGCCGGTGTACGTGTAACTACCCTCCAAACGATGCGCAGCATATGTGTGTGTGTGTATGTGTGTGCGTGTGTGTGTGCGTGTTCGTGCGTATGCGTCTATGCACGCACACATAGGATGGTCGCGCGGGAAGATAAGTACCGAAGGGATGAAAGTAGCGAAGATGAGTTCGAGTTTGGTCCATGATGCGCGTCTCGTTAATTTTTCACCCCGTGTCGTTGCATTGTTTGCTTGATAGAAGGGTGTTTATTGCTAGCAGCTCGAGACAAGAACTATCGTGTTGCCTATATACGTTATTACGCGAATGTACAAGGGAGCGAATGTACAACGAGCACGACTCTGTGCCACTGGTTGCCACGTTTTAATGATCTCGATTTAACAAGCGTACGTAAGCCGCCTGCGAATCTCACAATAAGAAAAGAATGTACAAAACGAAAGTTCTAAAATGAAACCGGATTAATTAAAGGATTGAAAAGATAGTACAGATTAATGTTATACAGACGTGTACATTTTATATTAACGTGTATATTTGTGACCTAAGATTTTAATAAAAAAAAAGCCCATCATCTATAAATATATATAATATATATAATCTATATATATATAATTAGATAGCATTATGAATAAGATAATATGAGAAGTTGTAAGAACTGATAACATTTTTCATGAATAAATAAAAAATTACGTTCTTACGTTACAAATGAAATTTCTTGAAAAATCTAATATAATTTCTTTATATTCTCTATTTACAAATGACGGGCAATTTGTACATATTTTATATAAATTTCAATTTATTAAATTCAATAAACTTACTATTAAATCCTCCCTCTTTTAAATATTAAAATTTAAAATCCTTATTATAATTTTCTTAATTGTAACTCATTCTTCTCTAACAACTCTACATTTTGATTTGAATTAAAATTTAAATTCAATTTTTCAATTATTTTATCCTAATAAAATATTGTATAAATATTGTAAATATTGTATAAAATATAATATCTTTAAACAACAATACATAAAAATATATCTAGGTTCATCCTATCGTGGATTATCAATTATAAAACAAATTCCTCTTTTTTTTTTGACGATATTTAAAGATGATTCTATTAAAGACGGTATCGCGCTACATTCAATTCGGTATCGAAATTGATAGCGAGTAATAAAACCTTCTTTCTCGGAGTAGGTCGGATATTGAAACAGGTCTGGCTCTATATTTCTGTATTTTTGCTCTCGTCCAAGCGGACGGGAGAGTCGTACGGTAGCGGATCAACGAGCAATCATACTTGAATAGGCGCCACGCACACGAGAGAGGCCAGCATGCGTATCCGCGTGTACAAGCGTGGACGTACGTTGATTCGAAATCATTGTGCCGTACCTCGTCGACAATCGAACCTCGACGAACCTCGAATTTCGTATGCCACCGCACGAATTTCCCCTCGAAACGGATGATTCGCGTGGATGAATCATGGGCAGAAGGTTCGATCCGTTCCTTCTCACGGAACAAAAATATCGTTTTACGTCGACCCGATAAACAAGACCACTGTCCCACCGGCGCAACAATCAACGGAGAGACACGTTCTAAGGCTTTCACGCGAAAATTTCTTTTCGGCAAATTTAATTTGCGAATTTCATGCACTCGCGACAAATTTTTCTATATACTTATATCAAAACGCGCGGTCGGTAATATTATACCGCTGAAATATAAAACCTTCGTGACACGATCACAGACAATATCTATGAATAATTTTCTATAAAGAGTAGCGCACGCGATAAGGCGTCAAGAATATTAAATATGTCTGATCTAGAAATATATTTCTGAGTAACTGTCCTACTTCTGTAATATAGATATACAGAAAGAAAATTAGATTAAATAAGATTGTTTGACAAGTGTTTTTATATATATATCGATATGATAGCATTAAGATCGACATACAAATGATTCCAAATTTATGTAAGCTGCATCTCAATTATACTTTTAATATTTTTTTATATAATATTAGAATAAAAGTTGCATCTCGGAAAAATAGAGACACACTTATGACTGTTTATACGTATGTCAATTCCTACATGATTCATCCGCACATATTTTTCATATTGTTTTTTTTTTTCACGATAATATTTATTGAATATTCTTAAAAGCTAGTGCAACGCATTCAAAAATACCACAAATATACATATTTCATTTAGAACACTACTACACTCGTAATACAAACAACGCGTTACACGAATCCATCAAACGCGCCATCGCCATAATTCAACCGTATATATTTCGACCATATCTGTGAGTTATTTCATGTTCCGTGTGGCTCGTAATAAAAAAATACAAAAGGGCGCAAAACCAAAAGCAAACGGATAAATTGTAACTGTTATAAAACTGGTCATTTTGTATATATTTTAAAACGCGGCGAGCATAAATACGTTTGTTCTTCGTATTCCGGATATTGTTGAGCAAACAATAAAACTACGCTTTATATTATACGTTATTAATTTAAATACTGTTATCCTCGAATAATTCTTTAGATACAGTCACGTTATTTTTAACGTTAAAATTTGTTAAACAATTTTTCTGTAAAATGTTGTCATCAAAGTACAGCAACGAAAAATTATTAAGTACTATTCATTTTCATTTTTCGACAAATTTGCATGATCCACTCGGAAATTAACAAAACTTTTCGAAAACATTAATTTGTTCTGTATAGCAAATTCAATTCTAGATTGCATTCATCGAAATAAGCAGTGTGCGGAATTAAATAAATACAAAAGATTACAGAATTCAATAAATAATGAATTAAATATACATTTGTATCTATTTTCCGCTACACTTGACAATTACAACGGTGAAATGTGATCAAGATATGACTGAGTGACGATGACCAAATTTTAACTCAAAAAGTCTACAAATATAAAACAAACTACAATACATTCGTAATTTTATATTCGTAATATAATTTATTTCGACGAAATATCTCAATTTGGAATTATAAGGAATATGGTACATACTCATGCAGAGCTTTTTTCGATTTTTCGAAACGTTAACGTCTTTTAAACTTTTTTTTGTGGTAAATTTCCAACTTGTCATCGCATCGGTGTACTTTGGATAGAAAGACTCACCATTATTAATCGCAGCTAAAGCGACGGCGCCAAGCAACCATGCGACGACGCTGACGGCGGACATCTTCGTTTCCCTCGTCGCGGTTTCCTCCTCACATAATACGCGCCTTCCGTGCGTTAGAACGAGCTGAAACAAGGAAGACGCATTACGTTAAACCGCGCGTGTGCGCGATGTCACAAGATATTACAAGTTCGGTCGCACGTTTATCTTACAAAGGCGACGCTTTCGTAAACGCCCGGCTAAGTGCTGCTGTTGCCAGAGCACTGGTGAGGAAAGCCGAGGAAACGATTGTGTTAGCGTCGCAATTTGTTACGCGTAATCTCGCACACCTCCTCCCGTTATCATGCATCCTATTACTGACAACAGCAGATGCCGCGCGCAATTACTCGATCAACTACAAAAATATTGTGACAATAAATAATCTCGCAACAAACTGCTTTTCAACCTCCGCTTTTCATTTTCCTTCAGTACATCGTACAACAGTTTAAAATAAAGTTTTTCATTCCTTGAATTACATAGGTCTTTATTACTCATTATTTAATATTTAGGATAGATAATCTTTTCCCTGAACATATCGAAGAATAAAAACAGGATATTCATTTTCGTGGGCGTATCATGAAATTTTTTCGGGGGGGGGGGAGAGAAGAACATTTCTAGCCAAGGATACCAAGCATCAACTGTAATAAGAACCAAAAAAAGGGGGGAATTTTGCTACTATACTGAAAAGAACGTCACTGCAATTTTGTTGTTGTGACATTTACAACGTAAATTTTGAACGTTAATAAATTCCATTTGGATATTTTTACAGCTTTTAATATCTCCTCGTACCTCATTTTGAAGAAGAAAAAATGTTACGTTTTGTAAATCATGTTTTACTTATTTCTTTAAAGACTTTTTTTTAAAAAAGGACAATACGGTTACTGCAAGCAAAATATTTAATTTATTAATATTGTCATTGTATGCTCGAACTAACAAAAGTATTAAAAATTATTTATATGGTCTTATAACGAGAAGAAAAAAATATTTTATGCAACAGCAAAAACAAAGTCGAAATAAAGTTGTATGTTTTTTACAATTAAAAGTGAAATTTCGATAGAGTACATCGCTTGGCCAATTCAAAATAAAATATTCTCATTAGTAAAGCAGTAAAAAATTGTTAGACCCCCCCCCCCTCCCCCGACCGATATGAGTGGATGTGTGCAATCAAAATGTGCCCTAACGGGATTCTGTCAAAGTAAAATAAATAAAAAATTTCGGAGGGAGGGAAGGTTTGAACCAACCCAAACCCCTCCCCCTTGGATACGCCCACATTCATTTATTATTTGCTCGACCGCATTAGCTAGAATTATTGACTTTTATATGTCGTCATGTAAATCTTTTTCGCAAGAAAACTTATTTCGGGAGAAAATAATTAAAAATAATATGAGTTTAACAATTCAAGAATTTTTACTCGCAAAACCATCGCAGGTTGAAAAATTGCAGCAACATTTCTAATTATTTATACCAACACTATCACTCTAATATGATCATTTATATGCTATTCATAACAAGTTATATTCAGAACCAAAGAAATCGAATACAGTTTTGTAATAAATAGAGTATATGATAATTCACAGTGTATTACACAACTGTACTAATAAATCAAACAGAATTCCCATACATTTTCATATAAAATTGGACATATAATTTTGGACAACGTAGAGACAATCTTCTTCGAATGAAATTTCAACTACTTTCTTATTATAATTTTCTCTAAAATACGCATTGAATTGCAATAGCACTTTAGATTTATTTAGTTTTCCTCATTTCTTCAAACGTAAGTTTACTATTATCGTTATTTTATTGAAAATTTTGCCAAAGAAAAATTTACATGATTGTCTATATAAATTCAGAATAAAGTATAATATTATTTTTACATTTATGAAAAAATTTACTCTAAATGGCTTTAAAGTAGGGAAAAGTATAGAAAATCTTTAAAAACGTCCTGTATAGTCGCATACAATCTACTGGAAATTTTATTCGTGAATTTCCTGGAACATGCGGATGATTTTCTCGAGCGTCCGCGCTCTCTGCTCCGCGAGATGGTCCCGGGAAGCTGCTCATTCGTCACGTCGAGATAGCGTCGTCCTCGGACGGATCCGCGGAAGGCGCGACGTCCTCCTATCCTTATAACTGGTATAACCGTTAGCGAAATAGCTCGCCGTGCCTCCCTCGAGTCGCTTTCAACCATGACATACTCCATTTATACAAATCACGCGCTGTATCTTCATGTCAAAACGTAATCGCCCCGCTTTCTTCCTCCTGTTTATTTTCGTAAATATTTCATGTAATCTACTGAAAATGCTGCAAGTGAAACTCGAGCTAGCTTCGTCAGAAGAGCTTGTTATTTACAGTACAACTAAATTAAAGTATCAGAAAATTTGCAAATGTATCATTTAATTAATTCGGAGGATTAAATGGATCTTCAACAGAGAAACTAAATTTTTGATACTTTTTTCTTATTTTGTAAAAAACAATATTTATAATGATTATAAAGAGCATCCTGACGAAGTTTTTTATCTTACGAAACAATAACTATGACTATATTAAATATCAAGAAATTCCCGGTCGTCGAAACGTTTGCGAGTAATTTCCGTTCTCTGTGAAGCTATTCATCCGATCGCTGTATTCCATGTAACACTTTCCATTATGAGTACTATTTTTGTCTTCGGTAACTAATTTACCGCGTATTATTATATTATCTGAAGGTTCAATCCAAGAATCGAAACATGTAATAATTTACACATTTATTCGAATTTTAGTAACGTAATATATATTTCATGTCTTAAAATAATTTTTTTACACTCAAAAATTGTTTAATCGACTCTTATATATGCCCTTTATAATCATTGTATTGTTTTTTTAAGAGTCCTATACAGTTTTTATATGATTCTTATATTTTGTCTTAATTTTTAATTCATATAATTAAACATTTTAGATGTAAAGATTAGATTCATGGATTGTAAAGGTTAAATTAAACGTTTTAAACTTTAAATTATACCATTTTAATTTTTAGAGCAAGCAAAATAATGAAAACAAAGGGACGAAATTTTCATGTTAAAAAAGGCTATCTGTATCTTTTATCTACCGCTTGAACGGACGCAATCCTGAGCGCCAAATAAATGATCCTCCTTTCTTTCTTTTTCCTTCTTTCTTTTTATACTCAAGGAAAAAGCGAAATAGGTAACTCTTGCTCTATCCGTACCGACCGCTCGCTGCTCTCGCAGCATCCACATGGACTAGGCAACCCTTCAGACGCACGTTTCCCACTGGTTCTCGGCTCCTTTCATCCCAGTCCGCTTTTACTTTATGCACTGGTTGTGCGCACACGGACTTTATATCGTCATACACTGTGTGCTTCGAAAACCTGAAATTCCGCTTTGCTACGGTTTCGTAAGACGCCACAAGCCATACGTTTCGCGCAGAATTTCGACGTACCTCCGCGCCGCGTGCATAACTAATATATGAATAATACAAAATGAATTTTTCGCAGCAGCTCCAGTTCGTAATAAAGTTACGATACCACATCACACGTTTTTACATATTTTATTTTTACAATGCTACGATATGAGATGGTGTACTATATTCTTTATGCAATGAGAACATAAAAACATATATATATATATATATATATATATATATATATACATATAGGTAATTATATAGATATATTAATATCGGAAAATGTTGCCAAGAAGGGTTGTCATAAAATGCATTAATCAATATATGTATTTTAAAAAGTTATTATCGAACACTTTGTTGTTTTTCTTCTCTCATAATGTATTCATGTACCATAAAATATTCTCTTTATTCAGAGAGAAAGAGTGCAAGATTTTCATGACAATATAGAAACAGAATAGACGTTATTGGAAAGAACAGTATGCCGTATATATTTCAAGAAATTTCAGCAAAGAAACGTGGAATTATCAAAATTCTTGATTAAGCTACGATCAGACACAACAACGAACAGAGGCAACTGTTGCTTCATTTGAGCACAGACAAAACGCGCGCGCAACGCTTTCATATAAAATATGAAATTGCATCCGGTGCATTTTTCAAGATAAAAGACTGAACGCACTTTCGCGAATGTATGCGATGCACCTGTACGACCAAAGTAGCAAACCGGAACACCGTGGAGCTTTCGTTTATGCACAGTCATACGATAAGATCTTTTTATTTATATCATCTGCAATGTCCGCGCTACAGAAACGAAAGCGTACTCGCTGAGCTCGAGATAAAGATAATGGCATTTTAAAGAAAATTTCTAACGTATAAGAAAAAAAATTCACAAGAAAGAAGAGGAGATTAATTACAACTATACTGAGAAACTATATATTTTTCAAGAATCAAGTGAAATTTTAGATAGGAATTAAAAATCATTGACATTCAAAAGAAATAAAAAAAAGGCAAAAGCATCCTTCTGTAAAACGCAATTTTTCGCATCAGCAATAAATGGTATCTCATGCATACTCTTTAATGAACAATTAATTGTAAAGTATACAAATATATTACTTGAATCACTGAGTGGAATAGCGATATAGGTTATTGAAGATAAATATTCTTTTGATGTATATTATCTTTCGTGCGAAAGATAATTAATTTTAAATTCCAGCCAACTAATCATTTCCAACGAGGGTAATCTCTCGAAAAACGTAAGCCAGCTGCGATCGTTGCCATAGCGCCGTATGATACACAACGATGGCATCGAACAACAAAATTATTACGTATTAGATGCACGTAACTTTGCGAATTTCACGTAACTTTCGCGATAAAAATTTCATCTTCATAATTTAAAACAAAAAATTTAATTAGCCTCCATCCCCATCCAACAAACCCTACGTTCGATGTAATCTACCAGCCGATCAAAAAAAGTGTACGGTAAACAACGGTTGTGATATTCGCACAGTTAGTGCGAGTAACGCATTGCAGAAGCGTTATTTTTCAAGCGCTTTTCAGAACGAGACAGCTCGTATCTCGTCGGGACGATCCGGCTTCGCGTTCGCTTTCGTGAGACCCATCAGACAGGCCCTTTAACGTTTATTTACACAGCTCAAACACATTTTTCACTCTCCACATAGTTTGTGGCATGTGGACGCGCGAGAAACATTATTGGCCACCACGTAACTGGCATCTACCATTGGCCACGACCATTAACATAATTCCTGCCATGAGCAATAACGACAGCGAAATCGCTATCATTTGGCTGCACGAGATGTCGATCCATCATTCGTGAACACTGATGAGACCAAACGAAGGCACAGGATACCGATCTCGCGACACACCAGCGAGTAACCGGTAATAATTCAATGTAAATGCGCGTAAGTGCTATTAATAAGGCTTGAAGGGAAAGAAAGGGAAGAGGAGAGGAGAGAAGGGAAGTACGATCGAGAGTATCGTAAATGTATGATTGAATAACATAACGCATACACGAGATACGAATATATTAGGCGAAAGCGTATTTTGCGGGGATTATCTGATGTACGTTGATGGGCTAGAGTGTGTAAAGACCGACGGAGTAAAATATATGCGATCGTGACGGAAAGATCTGGCCGCACAGAAGAACAGTCGTTTCGCGAAAAGCGTACATTGCGCGAAAGTAGAAATGCTCGTTACGTGCGTTTCAATTCAAATCGTTCCCGAGTAATGTAATGCCGTGGTGTAATTTCGGGGCTCGCCGCTAAAACGAAATGGCTGGGTGTTTATTCATGCAAAGCCAACATACTCCGAAACAACTCACCACATCTCCGTGCTACGTAAATGAGGTACTCGGATACGTCCGGATACCTCGTTGCTTGCTATCTTATGAGCGTCTGCGGATGCTTATAAAATGGAGATAATTAACGCAGCGTCTAGAGATAACGGGCACACCAATTTGCGGTTATCTCTGCCCTTTTGTCTTAGGTGTTGCTCCGCACCTTTCTAGGCGCCAAAAACGCGTTAAGATAACGCCACGTGATACGAAGATTCACACAACTTCTCACATAACGCAACTTCACAAAACGCAAAACGCCATTTCTCCAAACATTCAACAATGTAAACTTGTGCAATAAATATTGTTAGAAATTATCAACCACACGGAAAAACTCTGGTTATTTTTCAAGAACGATTGAAACGTACATCAAGCATTTTTTTTTTATTTCTATACGTTTTATGTATAATGAAATTTGCAAGGAATACAATATTTTCGCGGTTATTATTAATTGCACCGTATTCATATATTTCTCATTTATTTCAAATTACATTTTTATGATTCAAACCCAATCCGTACATGTTTCAACAGAAACGAATTTTGCATTTTTTGTAAGAGATGTTACGCGTTTACAATTCTATTGAAATATGTATACGTATACATTGTATATACATTACGGAATGGTACTTCATTTCACGCGAATAAATCGAAATTACTTACTTGAAGTTAATGGAATTATGACCGCGCGTTCGATCGATGTAATTAACTGCAACCAATATTTGATGAGTCTAAGGTACATACTCCGCGCGAGCTGACAACTAAATATCACATTGCAGCTTTTGACGTTGCAATGCGACGAAAAACAAAGGAAAGTTCGACATTATATTGAGTATCATATAGTAAAATATGTAATAGAGCAATTGATGCATTATTACGTTATTGTAATTTGCAACTAATTAAATGCATTAAACAAATAACAGCACGAGACAATTTAGAATATTAATACAATAATTGCAGCTCATAAATATCATATAAATCAACTATTTCATCATGTAAAATCAGTTTTGAAAGAACTGGCAGGATCAATAGAATATATCGGAATTCATCGACACTTATGTTTTATTGAACCTCATAACGTTTAAAACGACAGTCTAAGTAATTTGGAAAGGAAACTCGTAGAAATTGATATTATGCAAGTGGCATGTATGCGACGAATTCTAGTAACAGATTCTTTAATATTATGTATGTATACAAAAATTCGACGAAAATCGCGAGTTATGATTTCGCTTACCTATCGCCAATCACCAAGAATCGTCCTACTTGAACATCGTTGGCAGAAGCGCGTCAAGGATATAGGACGCTCGCTATTTTCTACTTTTTCTACCCGTCTCTAGCTTCGAAATGATGATTTTTAACTCCAATCGCAATTGCACTATCTGTCACTCGCAAAGGTGCATTTGTAATTAAAGTGCCGCCGTTAAAATCGTCACGATCACTAACCAAGCCAGCCGCAGCGCGACCAGAGAAGAAGCTCGTTCATGACGACGAGGACGGGCTCGAGAAGCTCCTGATGCGTCGCACAAAAACTGTCACACAAGTGTTACGAGGACAACATACGAGCTAGCGGCAATCACTTTTTTATCTAGCTCTTATTTCCGACGCAGCTAATTAATCCCGAATACGAGACGCGCGCGCGCGCGATAATGGGAATCCCATGGGCGAGTTTTAATTAAAACTCAGGTCCCTTAGCCCGTCGCTCGCATAGCGTACTTGACCTTCCTCGAACGGTAGGCTTAATTGAATCCTCGGTGGCGAGACGCGACGGTTACGCATATGTGCGTCGATTAAACGTGCTCGCATGTTCGCTGTTATCGCGGATGTACATATGCCGCAACATAGATAGATATATATGTATACTCCGTTCTGTCTAGTGCGTTTATATCACGATGTGGTGGATATCGTGCTCCGTCAGCTGATCCACCGAAGCCTTCTGTCAGCCGGTCTGACCACCGCGAGCCGCTATCACTGAGTCCCGTGGCGGTGGAATCTGCCGCGCGACTACTGTCTCCTTCGTTACAAACCGTCACTACTTGCCGCGCTCTGCAACTATTTCTGCTTACTGTCTCCTGATATATCGTCCTGATATACTCCTTCCTGACAATTTCAAAACGCTTGTCGATATCTCTCGTCGTTATCTCGCGACACTTGACCCGCGACCGATCAGTCGAATCGCCTCTCGAATATGTCACTATTCACCCTCGGCAGCCGCCAGCGTTCTGGCGGCTGACACTCGCGCAAACTTGGCGCGAACACTCGATCGTACGAGCGAGAGAGCACGTCGCGTTTAATTGCGCCCACGTTATCAATTATCATCGATGAGTAGTAATTAGCCGAGAGAAGCGCGATTCACTCATAGTCGCGACCTACTCCCGCCGCGTTCACTGGAATCCGCGCAAGGGTGCTCCGCACGCGCGCGCGCGTGCGTGCGTGCGTGCGTGCGTGCGTGCGTGCGTACGTACGTACGTACGTATGGATATATATGGGGATGTGTGTGTGTGTGAGTGTGTGTTGTACGTGTGTGTGTGTGCGCGCGCGCCTGTGGGATCCAGGTCCGACCCTGGCGCGATACGATGGAGAACTGACGTCCTGACGGGCTGCAGCGCCCCGACGACGGGCGTCCGGTGAACCATCCGCCGTGAAGCGAGCGGCGGGAGATCCGCCACCCATTCAACCCCTCCTGGTATCCGACACCCCTCCTCGTATCCCCGCCATCCACCATGAACGGCATGGTGCTCCGCTTTTGCCCGTATCACCTTGTCGTCGAGAGGGCACCGTCGTACACGCTGCCACGCGAAATTGCACAACATTTTTGAAAAAATACTATTCGTGCTATCGAAAACGAACTTTTCGGAGTTGTCCCAGTTTTTGTGGAAAAAACATTCGTCACAGATTTGGGAGACGTCCTGACAAGAAAAAAACGTGTTGTTTATCGATCATATATATGGACCCTGATGTATTAATCCCGATCATTACGTTTCATATTCTATCGCTCGATATTGAATTATTCAAATGTAAATGTAATTAAATTGTATAAAAATGTAATCAAATTATATAAATTATACTAAATTATCAAAATTATTTTAAACAGATAAAATGAGCAAATTTACTTGTGTTAAATTTAATTATACTAAGTGTAAGAACTTTCCTTCCGTGTAAAAGCATTTGAAAATACGATAAAAGAAATGAAGGCAAAGTACATATGAGGAATACTCGAAATATCGTTATAATTAAATTAAAAAAGTAACCCGATATAACTCGCAGCCAATCGATCGATGCTAAATGCTCCGGTAGAAATAGGACGCACGGAGTTTTGAATCTCTTCGATTATTTCTGTTTAGACATCTCTCATGATACTTCGTAAGATTTATATTTAATGCATTTCCTGCACGTATTTAAAAAATTCAGAAGAATCTAAAAATTGTTACGAACTCTGTGTCTTAATAGTATACGCTTTTTATGTTACAATTCTTATATTAATTTATATAAAATATATTACATGTATTGGAGCCTTAAAAGTGACGAATAGGTAGTCTAAAGGCACGAGAGGAATAGGTTCACGTAATTTCTTAATCAATATGGCCTAAATCATTCTTATGACAGAATAAGGCTCGCGTTTTAAGCTACGTGTTTTCCAAGACTTGCATGCATTTGCAAACGTCACGTGATTCGTCGAGGCCATGTAATAGACGGCTTTACATCACTCCAAATTGGATACAGTATAAAAAGTAAAATCCTAACTTTTTCAATCTGCGAAGGCATCATTTTATTCCTGGATTATTGCAAAATGTGTTTTATCCTAGGAAGTGAAACGTATCAACATACACTGATCCTCATCAACGAAGCATTATCGATGAAAAATCCCTCAAATCCGTTATTCTATACGCTATTGCATGTATCAATTTTTTTTATATGATAGCGATATCGTCTGGATAATATCCAGGTCACCATAACGCAATATAATTATTATGAAGGCCTATTCAGGAACAATTTTAAATTTTAATACATCATAAAAGCAAGGAAATTAAAAAAGAACTTGCACATTATTTATATATTATGTTATACATAATTTTGTAGTTTTAATTTTACGTCATCGAATAAAAGCGACTCGGCGTTTGCTAGTCGCTTTGCAGTCTTTACGCTCTAAGCTGTATTATTAATTAAAGGAATTAACTTCGCCATATATGGTGCGACCCATGCTCCAGGAAAGGAAGGTCGAACGCTTATATCATAGTCTAATTTCCAATTAAGGCGTTATTAATACCGGCGCCAGTAAACGTTACACCTCAAGGATTATATTACAATTTACATTTCGTATGTAAAAGACGTATTATCACGTTTGAATATCTTATTTTAATTAGATTACACAATCAATACGAACAAAATTAATTAGAAATGGCATGTAGCAAATACTAGAATCTAAATTAAGAAGAATGTAATTTTAACATTTTAAAAAAACGATAGTTTTAGTGTTACAACATTACTCAGTATTATATGACTTATAAGAAGAAAGAAAAATTACTCTTTGATTAATCTCAAATAATAATTAAAGCAATATTAAAAAAAATAGCAAGGGTATAGTATCCAATCAACTTTCGTCAAAGATAAAATTAATTTCAAAATTTACATAAAATATTTAATATATTATTAGAAAGTGTACGGTTTTTTTTTTCTTTATAATGTCGACTACTTTAACAGTTTAAATAATTAATTGACGTATATATTGTTTAATAAGTACCGTATTAATAAATTTTCACATATTAAATTTCAACATGTACCATGACCGGAATATTACTCAGATGTTTTACTAAATATTATATACTCAATGTTCGTAATATAGAATTGCACGAAAAGCGCACATAATTGCGTAAAAAAGTAAGTATGCAATATGCATATGAGAGAACAAACCTCAATTAAAATGTAGTGTACATCTTTTTCGAATGAGAGCTGCTCGGAGCAAATAACAATTATTTAATTGAAATGATAAATTTTCCTCTTAATATACTTAATATACTTTTCTATGCTTATGTGTTTTTAAACATAAAATATTATAATTATATTCGCCTAAGAGAGAATACTGAATATTTTAAAGACCCGACACTAGAAATAGTAATAATCAGTGATTATCAAATATCATTTTGAAAAATTATGGAAATATAAAACTAAATATGTTAAAATAAATATGTCTTGATTGGATTACTTATGACTTAAAAATTGAAATTGGAGATTATAAAACATTGTAGACTTCTATATGTTATTTTCACTGATTTATATCATGGATAAGGCTCATGGGTACGGATGTTTTGCACCGCAATCTTCAGGATTGTAGAAAGGTGCGAGGGACAGAAGCAGGTAGGTGGGTCGTTTCACACAGCAGCGCCTCGCTTAATTACTAGTTACTAGTAACAGGAGTTAGAAGCGTTTAGCTCACAGTTCACGCCATCCAACAAAAGCTTATAATGTTACGAACTATTCCCATTGCTACCCTAGATTCAACAACGAGGCTTCACCCGGTGCCCGGATTCGTATTACTTCGGAATCATATCAAATACGGAAACGAGTCTGCGAGTTCGCGAACTGCAGTTGGCTCGGTTTACAATATAATTAATCTCGTGACTAGCCGATATGAGTTTAGCGAGCTAAATATAATATCGGTGTCTGTAACATATTATCCACGTAATGTGAGAAAAGTTAATATTTTATAATGTAAAATGTGACATTAACAAAGGACCTCGGACTCTAACAATTACAATTTCGCATTGAACTTGATTGAACTTGCAAATTAAGATGACACGTGAATTCAATTAGAGGAGAAATGATAAATTTTCAAACAAATTTTCCAAACCAAACAATGCAATTGATTAATACAATTTATTGCATACTGCTGCACAACTTTATTCACTAGTGTGGCCATTTTCAGGTTGTGACCATAAATCTCGCATTTCTTGAATCACCAACGGAAAATTCATGGACAATAAATCGAAGTTTCGACAACATGATTCAACGATACCGAAAACGAACGCCCAAGCGCAAATCACAACTACATTGTTAAAAATCCTTCGTTCGTAGTATTCGCGAGATCGATTTACCAAACACCATTTGAGAGAATTTTGCAGCTTTGACATTTGCCGGGCGAATGAAACTAATCAAACATTCTATTCGATATACTGCACAACAGTCACACTATCCATAACCATTTTGTTTGACTCAAATCATCTCGACTAAATACAAAACTGACTGTGCGATTACTTTCAAAGAAAGATATCACAAAAGGTATATAATAGGTCCGTGTTTAGAATGTGCTTTTAATGCGATAAATGCGTATTTTTGTTTTCAAACTCTATATACGCGAACGATGCTAAATGCGCATTAACGTTATAAGTATTGTGACAAGTGCGTTTTGAACATGAGCCATAAACAAATTCAATTTGAAAATATTGTACCATTCTAACATTATTACATTCTTTATTTTTAGAGAATGTACTTACGTGAAAAATATGTAGTTTACACATGTATACACATTGGATACAAACATCTTCCTTTTATATACTATCCTTAAAAAAGTTTTGAGTAAAAATAAGAAAGAAATATTATGATATATTTCTCTATATCTAACAATAATAATAATAATAATAATAATAATAATGTAGAGAATAAAAGAAATCAGAAAATAAATGTACAAGCGTAAAATAATGAAGAAATAGCGAGTAAGTAGAATTTTCCGCATTCTACGTCAGCTTCAGGGTCGAAAAAAGTAGCTTGTGCAAGCAAGGATGGCAATTTGGGCAGCGGACATCCCTTGTCGCCTTTGGCGAGGCTTCCGGACCGACCATCCCGTACCGCTGAACACAGCGTTCTCGGTCGGCTGTATCCACACGCGTGCTAGTTACATTGGGCTTTGCACTGCCGATGCGTGCATGTAGATCGAAGGGAATGGCGATACTACGTACACTAGGATGGTTAGACCTGGTTGCCGTCCGTTAGCCGTAGCCCATACACACGCAGATTGGATCGGACATTGCACGCCGTGCAGCTCAGCTTCTGAACAGGGAAACTGCGTCCACTCAGCCCGCTGTAGCTATACCTACCTACCTACCTACCTATCTATCCAATAGGATACGGACTAACGCAACCACGCGTACATTTAGGTTATCGAATTGTAATGTTCGATACGAGAAAGGCAATCTGGACATTCTGGACACCGTTGTCCTGACGAGATGCCATTCTGAAATCTGTGTCAATTTCGGTACGTGTAACTCTGTGCGATTCCAAGTTTCGACAAAAGCGCACGCGGCGCGGCGGATGTTTAACGCCGGATCATCCGCCGCCGTGTAGCCGGATAACACACGCGATAATAGCGATAGACGGAAACGCTGTACCGTTGACGTTTACGCAAAGCCGCTGAGAGCTTTACAATAAAGTGAAACTTGAACGAACTTGTATTAAACTTCGCTTGCGGTCGACCGT